CGACAACCCGCTCCTTCTTTTCTCATCGAAACGGAAAGTAAAACGCTGTCGACAACGTACCTGTGCAGGTATGTACATCTTGAAACTAGTAGGTAGGTATCTGGTAAATTTCCGGATAGGCACGCGTGCTACCGTTGTTTCGCGTAAAATGTATCGTCGGGCGAATACATAAGCGAGCTTGAAGATGTCACGGAATGTCATAAGATCGAGGGTGCCACCACGGTAGATAGTCGGGAAAAGCGTTGTACACGGTACTTTATTTTACGAGGTGCACTTATTTCGGGTCCCCCGGGGAACTGACTGTACAAAATGAGCAAACGTACACAGTGGACTTGTGCACTGACCCACATTGTCGTTGCATAACGGGACGTCTTTCGAAATATTCGCAAGTTTAGTGCCTTCGGTCTCGTCCAGCGACGACGGCAACGCTCGTAAATGGAACCCCCGCAGTCACCGAGAGACACAAACGCAACTGACGCGTACCACGCGCGCGAAACGCCGTTTTTCGCTCTTTCCGATTCACCGTACACCTCCTGTTCCGGCCAATTAAATTATCCGTACCATATCTTACCAATTCCGCTAACAGAACAAATAAATTCGCTTAATCGATTCAACCATCGAGAATTCCATTTAGAAATTTATACCCAACATTCACCTGCCAAATTAATATAATTTGCATTTTTATAGTTGGACGCGTTCAGAAGAAATTTCACCATGATTTTTAATTCAGCGAACGCTCCTAAATGGATTAAAATCTTTACGATACCGTATCGCGATTCGGATCTTCTTCGACGTGGATCCTAGAATAAAGAAAAAGACGAAGCTACCGGCGAAACTACTCGATGGAAACGTCACCTAATAAACGATCTCGTAAACGTCGGGCCACGAATGTCGGCGGCGTTGAATTGGTCTGACGCGCTTAGAAACGACACGATCGCTTCGCAACCCCAGAACAAAAACGGCACCACGATGGTCGAAATAAAATACTCTTTATGACAGTCGTCGTCGTCGCCGTCGCCGCCGCCGCCGCAGCCGCTTCGAATCCCTAACACCATTGGCGTAAAACTCGAGCGTGACAATTGCCACGAATACCCCGAGCCACTCCAAGAAATTCTCTTCGACAAAGAGACCCAACATCCATTCGACGATGCACGCTCCGATCGAACCGCTCGCTTTCTTCCACGGCTAATCTTCCAATTGAAATTAGCCAGTTGAAGAAAGTATCAGTCTCGTTTTAAACGAAGAAAGATTCTATACCGAACCCCGTGGAGAAGAAGAAAAAAGAGTTTCCCTCATATCGAATCTGTAAAATGCCGCAGGGAAAGATCTGACGAGGGACGAACGGTGAACTGGCAGTAAATCGGTTGTCTGTGCAGTTTTAATTGACAGAAATGTTTAGCGGTAATGAACGCAAGGTGGACGGAACCGAATAAGTAGGAGGTAGTAGAAGGAGGACAGACACCGCGAACGAAAAGGAAAAGAGCAACGGCAACGGCAACGGCAACGGCAACGACGAGCGACAATGGTAGCGGTGACTGGCGGTGGCGGCAACGGCAGCAACGACGGCAGCAGCATCGGTAGCAGCAACGACGCCAGAAGAGGAACAGCGCAGCGGCAGGGCCGCGACTAGATAGAGACACACCGGCAGGAGCATAAACATCCCGGTGGCGGCAGTGGTGGTGGCGGTGGTGGTGGTGAAGGTGGTGGTGGAGGAGGTGGTGGTGGTGGCGGTGGCGACGTCGGCGGAGGCGGCGGGGGCAGCGCGCACGTTCCACACCGTGGGCGTCGCCATCGAGTTCCTACCACAACGGCAGGGGTGTTCTATGACGCTATAGATCATGCGGGCTCCGCCTGGTAGGCGGGCACAACCTGGTAGTTGGTACGCCAATGCTCTTTTCCCCCCGGCTCCGCCAACCTTGGCAGCGCCGCCACCGGTGCCCGCCAAAACGATCTCCGCTCACCAACTATCTACAGTCTGACGAACTCGTATCCTTCGACCTCCTTCCGATTCTTTTCCAACTCGAATCTTCGCCCCGAATTGTCGTAAAACACCCCCTACCAGGTCTAACGCTTCTCCTTACCACGATGACGGATAGAAACCTCCTGTGGAAACTCGAAATTTTACGAAAAACAGCCTCGATCGGAACAACGACTCCCTAACCTCCGAACTTGAAAAACCTTCTTATTCCACGTTGTGGAACAATCGTTTCCGATAAAACCACATGTTTTCGAACACCGAGAATAACCAGATAACGAAACTGAGGCGAAGACGTTCCTTCGATGCACCGAAACCGTATTTTACACTTCGTGGAGGTAAACATTTTGTCACATTTCCACGCTTTCTAACGGCAACGGTTGCTCTAGTCGTACCGACCGTCCAAGAACGACACGACGATATACAGTTTGCTGGTACGTTACGTAAAAGTTCGAGAGCACTTTGACACTCGACGATCTTGTTCCAAATGCGATATAACCTCTAACCGCGTAACTCGACCGTTCTATTCGACGCTCTACGTTTAAATATCGAACATTGAAACTAAAAGATAGAAAAAATGATCGCAACGTACGTACGCGTACGTATGCGCACCTATGTTCGACGTGGAAAGTACGACGGTTTTCTTTTCTTTTCAGTTTTCCAACGGTAATGAAGAAAACGATCAGCTGAACGTCGTCCGCTTGAGAAATCCTCTGGAGATTTTCTCGAAACATTCATCCGCAGCGGATCGTAGTTGGAGGAAAATTTTGAGGTTAGTTTGTAAATTGTAGGAATATCGGGTTAACGGGAATATCGGAGGGAATTCGCGACGAAAGAATCCGTAGGTGGAGAAGAGAGAGTGGTTATGAGAGACTCACCGAAACTCGCGGGAACTGCGGTGGTCCAAAGTGTAGGAAAACGACGAGAAACTCGTAGGTGTGGCTCCGTGACGCCGTAGTACGGTGGAACGCTACATCGTCCAGCAGCGCCTCTCGCGGCGAGAATAGGAGTCGGCGGTACGGAGCTGTTCTCCCCTCTCGCGCTTTTGAGCAGGGCCGAGGTGGTTGGGGACCCCGCCTCCTTTCTCGACCATCTCTTACGCGCGCGAGCGCAACGTCAGTCCCTCGGGCCCATCGACGAACTTTCGTCGCACCTTTTCGCTCTGGTTCGATCGCGCTCCGTTTTTTCATGTTCCTCTGTACACGCGAGGTCATAGTGCATAAGCGGGAAATAAAGAGAAACAAACGCGTGGGTGCAGGCAAGTGCATCCAGCAGCGACGTGGAGTGGTTGTCATTGCGCCGCCGCTAACCAGCCCCCTTCGGAAGTGTAATCACGGCGCGGTGTCGAGTACCGACAAGTAGCCGAAGAAAAGCGACGCTCACGGTGGATCGTCGTCTCTGTCCGATTTCGTCGGTCCACTCCGATATGCGTCTACTCCGCCCCCCGCCCGCGTCTCTCCTCTTTCCCATGGTAGCCGCGCGCGCGGTCCAGGTTCGTCGTCGCGTTTGATTTTCGATAATCGTGCGGTTTGCGACGCGGACGCGGACGCGGACGCGGACGCGAACGCGAACGCGAGAATGGAGTGGAAGAGGTGAAAAGAGAAGTCGTCGGTGAAGAGTGCGCAAGAGGCAAAGCGTAGCAAGGAAGAGCTGGCAAGCGAGGAAACGAGAACGAGCGGCGG